TTCTCTGCCAAATAAATAAATAAATAAATAAATCTTTAAAAAAAAATCTTGGGGCGCCTGGGTGGCTCAGTCATTAAGCGTCTGCCTTCGGCTCAGGTCATGGTCCCAGGGTCTTGGGATCGAGCCCCATGCTATTTATTTGACAGAGAGAGACACAGCAAGAGAGGGAACACAAGCAGAAGGAGTAAGAGAGGGAGAGGCATGCTTCCCGCTGAGCAGGGAGCCCGATGCGGGGCTCAATCCTAGGACCCTGGGATCATGACCTGAGCTGAAGGCAGACGCTTAACAACTGAGCCACCCAGGCGCCCCAAATAAATAAAATCTTTTAAAAAATAAAGATGCATTGTTTAAAAAAGAAATTCCCTTACTGTGTGGCATTTAGGATGTTGCCAAATTGTCAGCGTGATAAACGCTGTTCCATCAAGATTCTCATATGAGGTTATGAATGCATGCTGGGTTAAGTCTTTAGGACTTTTAGAAAAGCACCTGCTGGGTGCCTGGGTGGCTCAGTTGGTTAAGCGACTGCCTTCGGCTCAGGTCATGATCCTGGAGTCCCGGGACGTCGGGCTCCCTGCTCAGCAGGGAGTCTGCCTCTCTCTCTGACCCTCCCCCCTCTCATTCTCTCTCTCAAATAAATAAATAAAATCTTTAAAAAAGGAAAAAAAAAAAAAAAGAAAAGCACCTGCCAAGTACTTAATATTTGGCTTTTGTTAGAAAATGTTTTTAGGGGCACCTGTGTGGCTAAGTGGGTTAGGCAGCCAACTCTTGATTTCGGCTTGGGTCATGATCTCAGGGTTGTGAGATCAGGCTCCAAGATAGGCTCTGTGCTGGGCATGGAGCCTGCTTAAGATTCTCTCTCTCCCTAACCCTCTGTCTCTCCCTACCCCCCTCCTTCTAAAGAAAAAAAGAAAAAATACTTTTAAGATTTTATTTATTTATTTGACAGGGGAGAGAGAGCACAAGCAGGGGGAGCTGCAGAGGGAGAGGGAGAAGCAGGCTCCCAGCTCAGCAGGGAGTGAGACGTGGGACTCGATCCCAGAACCCCAGGATCATGACCTGAGCCAAAGGCAGACGCTTAACCCACTGAGCCACCCAGGTACCCCTAGAAAAAATATTCTTAAATTGATGTTTTGGGACACCTAGGTGGCTCAGTCAGTTAAAAGTCTGACTTCGGCTCAGGTCATGATCTCCAGGTCCTGGGATCAAGTTCTGCATCAGGCTACCTGCTCAGCGGCAAGTCTGCTTCTCCCTCTCCCTCTGCCTCTCCCCCTCCATGCTCACTCTCTGTCTCAAATAAATAATCTTTAAAAAAATTGATGTTTCTTATTATACAGATTATACAGTTGTTTTGTGCAGAGTTCTTTGCCTAAAAAGATGAAACTAGAGGTGCCTGGGTGACTCAGTGCGTTGGGCTGCCTACTCTTGGTTTTGGCTTGGGTCATGTCTCATGGGTGGTGGGATGGAGCTCCACGTTGGGCTCCGTGATCGGGGGGAAGTCAGCCTGAAGATTCTCTCCCTCTGCCCCTCCCCCTGCTCACTCTCTCTCTCTCTCTATCAAATAAATAAATAAATCTTTTAAAATAAATAAATAAATAAAAAGATGAAACTAGATTATTTTACATGGTTAGTTTCAGTTTCAAGCACTAATTTGTATTCATGTTAGTAATCTAAGAGGAAACATGACTATAAAAATTCCAGCTTCTTTATGACTCACAGCATGCTTACAAGTTAATTTAGTATGCTCATATCTGGAATAACTTAAGAAAGTGACAAGTGAAATCATTTCCAGGTTGGCAGCTATGGTGACAGGCTTCCATGAAAGTCCATAAAAATAGGTCAGGCAGAATGTCAACTAGCTGAAAGAGTAATATTTGAAATAATGAGAGGTATCAAATGTTCAATATAGCCAAAACAAAGCATCATCCATAGGAATCTTAACTTAGCCACTAAGAGACAACCATGCCCCCTTGACAAATCTCCAGCGGATCTTACTGCTTCAAGAAGGATCGGAGGTCATCAGCTTTATGGTTGTGGTTGTGGTTGTGGTTGGCTGGCAGTGTTACCTAATTGAAGGTGCCCAAAACCACACTTATTTTCCATGTCTGTTTCCAAGGTAATGGACTAACAAACAGAATACAACTCAGCAATAAAAAGGAACAAACAATACAACATCATGGATAAATCCCAAAATTACTACAATGAGACCCCAGAAAAAGAAAAAGAAATCTAGTGTATGATTCCACATATCTAAAAATCTGTAAGATGGGACACCTGGGTGGCACAGAATGTTGAGCATCTGATTTTTGGCTTCAGCTCAGGTCCTGATCTCAAGGTCCTGAGAGGGAGCCCTGCATCAGGCTGCTCGCTTAGTTCAGAGTCTGCTTAGTACTCTATCCCTCCCCCTCTTCCCTTAGCTGAGCTCGCTAGTGCACTCTCTCTTTCTCTCTCAAATAAATAAATCTTTTTTTATGATTTTATTTTTTTGACAGAGAGCACAAGCAGGGGGAGTGGCAGGCAGAAACCATGACCATGGGATCATGAATTGAGCTGAAGGCAGATGCTTCACCGCTGAGCCACCCAGGCATCCCTCATTAGTAAATTTATAGACTGGCCTAAATCCATTGGAAAACATCTAGAAATGCATCCAACCTGAGTGGGAAATATACACTATCTCTGAGTAGCCAGTGTCTGAAAGGAAGCAGTAGCTCTTGGAGCAATCATAAAGAGATATGGGTCAAATGCTCAACAGTGACTGGTCATTCCTGCACACCGGGCAACTGTTGGATGCTGTTGTCAGTGGTGATCTACTATCTAGGTGACATTGGACAGGGCCAATGAAACTGTCCTTTGGCAATGAGTGACAGTCCAACAAAAAATACTGCGGAATGAAAACTAAGACACAGAAGCAGTAATTCTTTTGAAGGCTTGGAAGGGAGAATTTAAAATTCACTCAAGGTTAAGGCTTGCAAAATGAGAGAGGTGACCGAGAGAAAATATACTTTTCCTTCTGAGGGAAAATTTACTGAAAGAATCTAGAAGAGGGAAAGAAATTGGGGATACAGAGAGGAAAGACATTTATCACAGACAACTCCACCTTTATACTCAGGTGGCTTCACACCTCCAAATAATTTTACAGAATCACAAGCCATCAACACCAGATCTTATATGTATGTCCCAACACCCAATGTTTGATTTTACCTCTGTGCATCATCATTGCCAAAGAATTTATTCATTTGATTTGAAAAAACAAGTCGCATATGGCTTCCACAAAAGATATCTTACATAAGTGATTCTCAGAACCATGTAAACAAGCACCGCTGTTCCATAAGGAAATACTCGGGAGGGCAGGACATTGGACAAGGGTTAGGCCTTAAGCGTCGTTAAGCGTCTGCCTTCAGCTCAGGTCATGATCCCAGGGTCCTGGGATCGAGCCCCGCATCGGGCTCCCCGCTCAGCGGGAAGCCTGCTTCTCCCTCTCCCACTCCCCCTGCTCGTGTTCCCTCTCTCGCTGTGTCTCTCTCTGTCAAATAAAGTCTTAAAAAAAGAAAAAAAAATTAGGGATGAAATACCCACAGAAAAATTTAGAAATAAGTACATTAACCAACTGCCATATTTAAAAAATATACAATTGTATCAAATGCCCTCTAGAAATAAAAATGTGCTAAATCTGCTGCCATGGAGAGATACTGTATTCTTAAAATTGTAGGTGAGAGTAAAAATAAATAAAATAAAAATGTAAATTAGATCTTACATATTTTAAACTCGGCGGCATACGTTCCTACGTGTAAATTACAAACTGAGGGGGAAAGTGGGGCACAGATCACACAATAACACGGAAAACAAAGGCAACAACACAAGACGCGAGTACCAGATGGAGCAGAGGAAGGAAGCTGGCTGGCTAGGGATGGAGCTGGCTGCAGCAGGGATTCGCGTCTCCGAGACGGGAAGGGGAGAGGCCTCGGCGCAGGGAGGGTGGGGGCGCGCCCGCCGTCGGCGCGGGGGCCGGGGTGAGACTCAGGCGCAGGGGGGGACAGCCCTGAGACCCCGCGGCGGGAAGAGCCGGTCCCGGGCCAGCCCTACGCGCCCCCGCGGGCTCACGACTCGCGGACGCGTCCCGGCCGCGCCCCCGTCCCCACCTAGGGTCCCGACTGCTGGAGCCCCCACCGAAGCTCGGCCGAGGACGAGGTCTCCCTGCAGCTCCGCAGGACCCGCCGAGCCTGCGGCACCCAGCACTCCCCCGGGGCGCTCTCCGCCTTCTGCACCGGCAGCCGGGGCCTGGACCGCAGGAGCCGCTCCGAACTCCGCGGCGGTCAAGGAGCCGGAACAGGCGCGCCTACCTCCGCACCGCACCGCCGCCAATGGCAATTAGGAGCCGCCCGTTGCTAGGCAGGGTGCTGTCTCGTAGCAACGCGGAGGCGGGGAATTGGCCAACAGACACAGTCTCAGCCAATAGCCGCTTGTGCCAGCGGGCGTGGGCGCCCTGGCCAATGGGAAACAACAGCGGCCTGTTACTAAGCAAAAACCGATCTCTGAGTAACGCACCCGCTCCGGATGGAACCCAGGAGGCGCTAGCTGAGCGGTTATAAGGGGTAAAAAGTGTTTTCTGTAAACCAGATTTTTTATTTTTTTATTTTTTATTATTTTTTTTTAAAGATTTTATTTATTTATTTGACAGAGAGAGACACAGCGAGAGAGGGAACACAAGCAGGGGGAGTGGGAGAGGGAGAAGCAGGCTTCCTGCTGAGCACGGAGCCCGATGCGGGGCTCGATGCGGGGCTCGATGCGGGGCTCGATGCGGGGCTCGATGCGGGGCTCGATCCCAGGACCCTGGGACCATGACCTGAGCCGAAGGCAGACGCTTAACGACTGAGCCACCCAGGCGCCCTGCATGTAACCTTACAGAACTATGTTTTGTTTTTTTAAATAGAGTTTCTCCTAATTATTTGCAAAGTACTTTAGGAAAACATTAAAAGATTGACACAGAGAACAGTATTACATGATGTCTTAACATATTAACCTAAAATATAGTTTCTTGGCTCTATTATATTCAACCTATGTACAACTAATCTATACAGAAATCCCACTGAAAACATAATAGGAGGATATGCTTTGTGGGTCTTTTATTTTTACGAACCCCATTTCTCATATATTTAGATGATGAGCGATGCAATTCAGGGCTTTTCTGTTGCTCACTCAGTTATATGTTAATGTGTATTCTTGCCTTTGCATGTCTAGTATGAACAACAGTTCTGTATATAAACTGGTGACGCAGAGGAGGCAGAAGACTTTATTGAAAAAGTCCAGCTTCTATTACTGAAGACAGAGCAGGTAAGAGCTCTCAAACTCATTTACATGTGCCAAAAATATCTGGCAATATATCTTAGCGTGTTTGTTAAATAATAAATTACATCATTTGGTCCAGCTTATCTTCTACCGTTATGGTACAAACAAACGTACCCATCGTGTAGCACTCTTGACAGACGCTGGGTCATAAACATGACATACACCATGTTCACAGATTAATTTCACATGTGCTATGAAAATATATAAATTTATAACATGTAGGCATATTCAGGAATATAAGCCCTATATTCCTCTGAAGCGACAGACTTTTTACTTGGCTGTCATCATTACTAACATATATATACATACAGATACGTATATATCTTTAAGGTTTCATATGCTTATCATTTAAAACTGAATAATCTTTTCTTTGAAAGATGGAATACCAGAGTTGGAAATTGATTTTTAACGTTTCTATTGACAAAGTTTTTCTATATTCTTTTAAATCATTATTTTTGTCCTCAATATGAATAATTTGATTTACAACGAGACCAGACGATTTGCTGAGTGCTTTTCTCTACAGTCTTTGCTGCGTTCACTGCACACATAGGCCCACTCTCCCGTTTGGCATTCTGATGTTTAAGGAAGTAGAACTTCCTGCCAATGACTTTCCTATACTCACGGCCTTCAGAGAATTTCTATAAATGCGTTTTAGGATGTAGAGAGAAGTGCGATTATTTTCTTCAAAGTTTCTCACATTCACTCTGTTTCTAGGGTTTCTGTTCTATGAGTTCTCTGATGTATGATGAGGTGTGACTTCTGGGAGAAGGCTTTCCCGCATTCGCCACACCCATAGGGCTTCTCTCCTGTGTGAGTCCGCTGGTGTATGATGAGCTGTGACTTCCAAATAAAGGCTTTTGTACACTCATTGCATCCATAGGGCTTTTCTCCTGAATGAGTTTTCTGATGTCTAATGAGCAGTGACTTCCCACTGAAGGCTTTCCCACACTCACTGCATCCATAGGGTTTCTCTCCTGAATGAATTCTCTGATGCTTATTGAGACTTGACTTCTCTCTGAAGGCTTTGCCACATTCGCTGCATTTGTTGGGCTTTTCATCTATATGGGTTCTCTTATGAGTAATAAGTTGTGATTTCCCGCTGAAGGCTTTCCCACATTCACCACACGCATAGGGTTTCTCTCCCGTGTGACTTCGCTGATGAATGATGAGCTGTGATGTCTGAGAGAACACTTTCCCACAGTCGCTGCATTCATACGGTTTCTCTCCCGTGTGAGTTCTCTGATGTGTGATGAGGTGTGACTTTCTAGAGAAGGCCTTCCCACACTCACATCCATAAAGTTTTTCTCCCGTGTGAACTGTCTGATGTGTAACAAGGTGTGACTTCTGGGAAAAGGCTTTGCCACATCCACTGCATTTGAATGGTTTCTCTCCTGTGTGTGTTCTCTGATGGACAATGAGTCGTGACTTCTTGCTGATGACTTTTCCACATTCATTACATTCATAGTATTTTAATCCAACATGAGTTTTTTCATGTTCAGTACGGAGACAGGATTTCTCATATCCATTGACCTTACCAGCTTGCTTTCTTCCACAGTTTCCAGTCTGAGTAAATAAATCTAACGAGCATTTCAAATGTTTTCCATTTGAGACACGCTTACTGGGCTTTTGCTTTAAAGGTGCCAGGTTCATGCCAGACTGAAATATTTTTCCACTTGCATTCATTTCACGGACTTGTTCCAATTTTTTAATCCTGTCTTGAATTTCTTGGTGCCATGCTTTGTAATCATCAACTTTCCGGTATTCTAGAAAAGAGAACAATAAAACACATTTTGTGAATTCTTCAGTAACTGTGAACCAGATGAACTAGAACTGTATAAATAATCACGCACATCGGTACATGTTTGGGAATTAAAATTAAATAAAGTGCGTTCATGAATACTGAGGTAGAAAACCAATAATAGATGAGAAGAAAAAAAAACACATTGACTAAATAGGTTGTTAGAAGCAATGATATAATAATCTGTCCCAGGCAAAGGGTTTCATTTGTACACACACTCAACTCTAAGACAAGGCAATAAAAAATTGCACTAGAAGGCAGGGAATGACGACACCAAAGTTATTCCTTTGGTTATGGGAACAGAAAGAGTAAACTATCATAAAAGAAATCAAGGAGCGAATAGAGGAAATGACTGTGGGTATACAATAGTAATCTGAGGCATTTACCAGTCAAAAGGGAAAGAAAATATGTGGGAATTAGAACAGTGAGAGGGAAAAAAATGACAATGACTCCTGTGTCCAAGAGAAAAGAAAAGGGACCTATCAGCAGGATAAGGTTTGTGATGTGGAGAGGAAAATGAATGTACAAGGTCTGACATGAGAAAGAGGGGTTGAGCTCCTTGGTACAGACCAGAGAAGCATAGTTCACTCTAAAATCAAAGAAGGACAGATTATCCTCACATGGATAAGTGATAGATATCTGTGTATCTGAGAAGCTTATCTCAATGGTTCTTTTTTTTTTAAAGATTTATTTTTTATTTATTTGACAGAGAGAGAGAGACAGCAAGAGAGGCAACACAAGCAGGGGGAGTGGGAGAGGGAGAAGCAGGCTTCCCGCTGAGCAGGGAGCCTGATGCGGGGCTCAATCCCAGGACCCCGGGATCAGGACCTGAGCTGAAGGCAGACGCTTAATGACTGAGCCACCCAGGTGTCCCCATCTCAATGGTTCTGAGTCACTTCCAAAGGTTTAGTGACTTTGAGAATTCTCTCAACAACATTGTGAAGGTGCCCACCCTTCACGGTCTTCACTGTTCGCTGCAAAGGGCATTCCAATCCCCCTGACTCCCAGGTGACTCACCTGAAAAGCTCTCACTGGGGATGTCTTCACTGATTACCCATGGCTTCTCCTGCTCCAGTCTGAAGATCACATCTGGTCTGATAAGTTGAAACCCTGTGTATGGAAAATCACACAGGACTTGAGCCCAATTTCTTGGGCTTTAGGCTTCTAAAGAATAAACAAATGCTTAGCTTCAGAGGCTGTGAATGAGGCCTTTCATTTGGGATGCACATGGACAAACACTCTGAAGACAAAGAAGGGCTAAGAATTTTTGAATTCTTAAACTAAAGCCCTAAGTCATTACACACTTCACAGGTCCCATTTTTCAGTAAACGAATAGGACAAGACAGCTGACTGGGCCGAGTCCACACAGGATGTGTCCTTACCTAGTGACACAAGGCTGCTCAAGTTCTCCAACATCACATTTCTGTACAGAGTCTTCTGAGCAGAGTCCAGCAGCTGCCATTCCTCCCGCGTGAAGTCCACAGCCACATCCTCAAACGACAATGATCCCTGAAAGAGCACACTCCTGGTAACTCTGAACCAACGGGTTTTGGATAATGAAAGAAAGATGTAAGGGCCCCGGGGTACGAGCCACCAGCAGTCTTCAGAATAGCTCTTCTCCTTCTGTCTGCTAACCTCAGTTGTACGAGGGGTGCAAATACCGCCCCGTTCCCAGTAACAAATCACAACCGTTCCCTTTGTCCTTCTGTCTCTCTTACATCTAGAGTTAGTCCTGTGATTGTGGGCTGGCAGCGGGATCTAGGAAGTGTGCAAGGGCCATCTGGGGGAAGCTGCTGCTTCTTTGATAAAAGAGAGAGATACTGAGAGTACCCTCTGCTCTCTCTACTGTTCTCCCTTTTATTATTATTTTTTAAAGATTTATCTATTTATTTGACAGAGAGAGACACAGCGAGAGAAGGAACACAAGCAGGGGGAGTGGGGTAGGGAGAAGCAGGCTTCCTGCTGAGCAGGGAACCCGATGTGGGGCTCGATCCCAGGACCCTGGGATCACGACCTGAGCCGAAGGCAGACGCTTAACGACTGAGCCACCCAGGCGCCCTAAAGATTTTACTTATTTATTTGACAGAGAGAGACACAGCGAGAGAAGGAACACAAGCAGGGGGAATGGGGGAGGGAGAAGCAGGCTTCCCGGGGATCAGGGAGCCCGATGCGGGGCTCGATCCCAGGACCCTGGGATCATGACCCGAGCCGAAGGCAGACGCTCAACAACTGAGCCACCCAGGCGCCCCTATTTTTTATTATTTTTAAAAAGATTTATTTATTTATTTTTGAGAGAGCGAGCAGGGGGAGGAGCAGAGGGAGAGCGAGAGAGACTGTTAAGCAGATTCTGACTGAGTGCGAATCCTGATGTGGGGCCTGATCCATGACCCTGAGATCGTGACCTGAGCGAAACTAAAAGCTGGACAGTCAACCAGCTGGGCCACCCAGGTGTCCCCCTCCCTGCTTTTAAAGCAGACGTGTACTCGAAGCTGCAGTAGCCACCTTGAGCCATGAGGCAACATGTGTGGGGCAGAAAACCAACTTGTGAAGTATGGCAGAACAGACCCCTGGAAAGACCCGGAGCCCTTCACGGCACCCCTCAAGAGCTGTGCTAGCCCAGGACTGTCTACTCCAGGTGTCCTGCAGGAGAAACTTCAAGGCCTTATCATTAGAGCTACTATCTGTAAGTGAAGTCATCCCCAAGGGATACATTTATTTGACATTCTTTTTTTTTTTTTTAAGATTTTATTTATTTATTTGAGAGAGAGAAAGAAAGAGAAGGAGAGAGCATGGGGGTGCACAGGGAGAAGCAGATTCCCCGCTGAGCAGGGAGCCCAACGTGGGGCTCAAACCCAGGACCCTGAGATCATGACCTGAGCTGAAGGTGGATGCTTCACTGACTGAGCCACCCAGGTGCCCCCAAAAGAATGATTTCAAGCCAAACACAAGATCTGGATTTTACATTCTATATAAGGTTATCATCCTTAGAAAAATTGTATTTTTGATTTTGAAACAGATATCTTAATGTAAACAACACTTGAGTCTCAGCCCCTTATCTTCAACCATCACATTGAAACATTAGATGGAATCATTAAATGAGCTGTTATTAAAACTTTAATGGAGGGGTGCCTGGGTGGCTCAGTCGTTAAGCGTCTGCCTTCGGCTCGGGTCATGATCCCAGGGTCCTGGGATCGAGCCCCGCATCGGGCTCCCTGCTCAGTGGGGAGCCTGCTTCTCCCTCCCCCACTCACCCTGCTTGTGTTCCCTCTCTCGCTGTGTTTCTGTCAAATAAATAAATAAATCTTTAAAAAAAAAAAAAAAACCTGAATGGAAAAAAAGCTCGATATACTTGCCAGACAGCAGAATGTATCTCCTGAAAGAAGACGTTTGCAGTGTGAATTACCACACTGATGGAACTCCGCAAGAATAAAGATGAAAAGAAAAGAAGTCAAACATATTAAAGAAAAGTTTTTAAACTCAGAGGATAGATCCAAAAACCCATCAAGTATTCCAGAGCTAGAGAGAATGGATAATAAAGGGGAGGAAATAATCAGTGAAATAAAACAAGAAAGTTCCCCAAAGTTGGAGGCACACAAGAGCCTTCCAACTGAAAACAATAAAGAATGTGAATAAAAATTTTATACCCAGACACATCAATGTGGGTACAGAGGGATATGCAAATGAAAATCACAAGGGTGATTTCACACCCCCTGGAACGGCCACAATCAGACGATAACAGTGTTGGTGAGGAGTGGAGAAGTCGAGGCCCTTACATATGGCTGGTGGGACAGTAAAATGAAGCAGCCACTTTAAAACAAGTTTATCAGAGGAGCGTCTGGGTGGCTCAGTCGGTAAGCACCCAACTTTTGATTTCAGCTCAGGTTATGATCTCACAGTTGTGGGATCGAGCCCCATGTCAGGCTCTGTCCTTAACGGAGAATCTGCTTCAGATTCTCTCCCTCCCTCTGCCTCTGCTCGCTTGCACACTCTCTCTCTCTCTCTAAAATAAATAAGTAAATCTTAAAAAAAAAAAAACTTAAAAAAAAGTTTATCAGGGGGCGCCCGGGTGGCTCAGTCGTTAAGCGTCTGCCTTCGGCTCAGGTCGTGATCCCAGGGTCCTGGGATCGAGCCCCGCATCGGGCTCCCTGCTCAGCGGGAAGCCTGCTTCTCCCTCTCCCACTCCCCCTGCTTGTGTTTCCTCTCTCGCTGTGTCTCTCACTGTCAAATAAATAAATCTTTAAAAAAAAAAAAAAAGTTTATCAGTTCTTCAAAATGTTAAATATAGTTACCACAGGAACCAGCAATTCCATTCCTAGGTATGTACCAAGAGAATAGAGAACATAAACACAAATGTTCGTAGTAGCATCATCCATAATAGCCAAAATGTGGAAATGTCTAGCAAATGAGGAACTGATGAACAAAATGTGCTACAGTCACATGACAGAATATTATTCCACAACAAAAGACAATAAAGTATTACATCATGCCACATCTTGAAAGTAGGCTGCATGAAAGAAGCCAGTGACAAGAGACCCTGTAGTGTGTGATCCTGTTGATACGAAATGGGTAGAGTGGGCAAATGCAGAGAAACAGCAAGCATATTGTGGTGGCCTGGAGCTGGGGCGGGGAGAAACGGGGAATACCTGCTAAGGAGACGGGGTTTCCTTTTGGGAGGATGAAAATATTCTTTTTATTTTTATTTTTTAAGATTTTATTTAGTTATTTGACAGCAAGAGAGGGAACACAAGCAGGGGGAGCAGAGAAGGAGAAGCAGGCTCCCCACTGAGCAGGGAGCCCAATGCGGGGCTCGATCCCAGGACCCCCGGGATCATGACCCGAGCCAAAGGCAGACGCTTAACCGACTGAGCCACCCAGGTGCTCTCTGGAGGATGAAAATATTCTAAATTTAGATTGTGGCTGAATAATTAGACAGTTGCAGAAGCCTCTAAACTTACTAAAAAAAAAAAAACCTGGGGCGCCTGGGTGGCTCAGTCGTTGAGCATCTGCCTTCGGCTCAGGTCATTATCCCAGGGTCCTGGGATCGAGCCCCGCATCGGGCTCTTTGCTCGGCCAGGAGCCTGCTTCTCCCTCTCCCACTCCCCCTGCTTGTGTTCCCTCTCTAGCTGTCTCTCTCTCTCTCTGTCAAATAAATAAAATAAAATCTTTAAAAAAAAAAAACAAACCAAAAAACAGTAAATTGTTCACTTTAAAGGGGTGAATTGTATGGAACTACAATTGAGGAAATAAAAGAATTACTCACCTGGGACTTGGTCATTTTCTGCTATTCTTGGGAAATGCCCAGTAACTGTAGGCTCTGCTCTGTGCTGGTGGACTCTGCGTATCTTCTGGAGTCTATCTTAATGCTCAAATCAAAGGTCTCTGGTCAAGATTCTCTTCACCAAGGATCCTTGGTCCTGAGACTTCTTCTTTATCTCAAATAAGCCAATTAATTCATGGAAACTGGAATCTGCTGAATCAGTTAACAAATTCTCTTTAGTTGATGCAAATATCCCTTTCTTGCTGGAAACTCACCTGCATTTAAAGCTCAGTGGGGGGCGCCTGGGTGGCTCAGATGGTTAAGCATCTGCCTTGGGCTCAGGTCATGATCTCCAGGTCCTGGAATTGAGCCCCACACCGGGCTCCCTGCTCAGCGGGGAGTCTGCTTCTCCCTCTCCCTCTCCCCCTGCTCATGCTCTCTCTCTCACTCTGTATCTATCTCAGATGAATAAATTAAAAAAATTTTTCTTTAAAAAAAAAAAAAAAGCTCAGTGGGTTTTCTATAGACTCTAAACAGACCTAACAAGGACTCAAAATAATGGGGTATGCAGAAGGAACCCCACAGCATTAATAGCAGCATTTCATCAAGCACTCATTCTCTCTCAAAGTGGGGAAGGGAAAGAGAGACCGTGTGTGTGTGCAAAATATACAGCCAACAGACAATAAGAACAACAATTTCATTTTTAAATAAAAGCATAAATAAAAGAGGAAAATGAATCCAGCAGTTGATGAAATGAATAATTCAGCAGAGCTTCTCCTCAAAATACAGTAAGTAGTTCATTTTAAGCTCATAATGTTTTTGAGAGTTCTAAATTAGTTAATACATGTAAATACCGTAGAACTATGACAGGCACATAAACATTTAGCAAACGCTAGTTAGTGCTCTTCTTACCACATGACGTGATTATAGAAAATACATATCAATAACAATTATTATCAATAATCCCACTACTTCAAAGGTACGTCTCTCATAGGGTGGGAGAAACCATGCTGATATTATAAAAATGTGATCTAAAGTCTTCTTAAATTTTTAAGCTGTACAGTTTATGCTATATGGTAAACCCACAAATACAACCACAGACCTGTGATTATATCATATAGGTCACCCATTCAGCTCTCAACCAATACCCAATATCCTGGCATCCCTAGTCTTCAGTCACTGACCCCCAAGGCCACGCAGTCATTAGCCTCAAAGACCTCCCCTCAATCCCACAGCCCTTCACAACCTACCCCACCAATCACACTCCCAGCAAGCTGTGAGTCCCATCACTCAGACACAGCTGGCCCATCACTAACTCCCACAACCCTGTCACACCAAGAACTCCCTCACTCACGCTCACACTTATTAACCCACAGGCTTCCTGATGACTAGTCGGATTCTCCCCACAAACTGCCTCCCCAGTTGTCTAAACCTACTCTGTCCCCAGTCAGCCCCACGGACCCCCAGTTTCAGCCAAATGTCAACCAATCTCTGGCCTCCACCCCAAGCTACCAAATCATTCACCCCGTAGCTCCCCAGTCACTATTCTCTCTTTTTAAAAAGCAAGCTCTACGCCAAACGTGGGGCTCGAACTCAGGACTCTAAGATCAAGAGTCCCAGCTCTACCGACTGAGCCGGCCAGGCGCCCAAGGACTCTGCAACGATCGACGCTCGGGCCTCCCCAGTCACTCTATCACCCCCAGTAGTCCCCAGTTCCTCGCCCACCAGGCCCCCTAGCCCTGATCTCTGATTCCCCAGTCACTGATTAAACGGTCGTCCTACACTCACTTCCCCACGAGCCTACGGTTCGTGACAACACACAGCACCTCCCAGACCCCCACTGGCCTCCGAGCCACTCATCCCCAAGGCTCGCTAACAAGTTGATGAGAAAAATCCTCCCCCAGGAACGTCCCCCACTCGCAGAGCTCTCGCAGGCCCAGCAAACCGCAGGTCGGTCACCCCGCAGACACTCAACGCCGTGGTCCCTCCAGGCGGCGAATCCACCTGCCCTTCAGCAGCCCCACCGGGCACCCAATTTCTGCCCTTCACGGCTGCCCGACCACTGCAGGCACCCCAAGTCCAGACCTCTGACGTCCCCACTCCTGGCGCCTTCAGGCCCCCGATGCAGACCCCCGGACGCCGCCCTAACAGGCGCACGACCCCTCACCGCGGCTGCGCTCACGGCGGACCCACTCGGCCGTCCCGGCTCTTCCGCAGCCGTCAGCCCGACAGGCCCCGGATCCTCACGTGACCCCAGCCACCGAGCCCGCAGGCCCCTCGGCAGCCCCCGCACTGGCCGGCTCCGGCGGCCACGCGCCAAACAGCAAGACGCGCTGCGCGCTGCGTCCAGCGGCCCCTCCCGGGAGGCCCAGCCCCCGGTCCCCGGAGTCCTCCGCCGCCCCTCGGCCGCCCCCACGACCTCGCATTTCCGATCGCGACGGACCGCCCCAGGCCGCACTGGGCCCGCACGCTGCCCCCACCGCGGCAGGCGCGCCGGGGTCACCGCGGGCCCGCGGAGACAGCGAGGCCGCCCCCGCCCCGCCCCCGCCCGCTCCCGCTGGGGCCCCGGCGCCGAGACGCTCCCGGCGAGCGCGGAAGTGGGCGCGCACAACTACATTTCCCGGAGTGCCGCTCGCCCCAGAACTACATCTCCCAGAGGGCTCTGCGGCGGGTCTCGCCCGGGCTCCGTTGGCTTTTCGAGAGGCCGGGGGTGCGCGCGGCGTAACGACTGCTCGAGTTCCTTCCATCGGAAGACCTCCCAACAGGGCAGAAGCATGCAGTTGAACGCCATACTCACGTGTCAATCAAAGCGGGGGTCTGCGCCGGGGCGGAGGGCATTAAGACAGGAACGGGGGGCACCGCCCAGCTCAGTGGGTGAGCCTGCCCCCCGTGTCTCTGGGTTGTGGATTCAGGCCCCATGCTGGGTGTAGAGATACTTAAAATCATAAAAAGAAAAGGGCAGGAAAGGCATCCCCGGACAAGGGTGGGGGGGGGCCAGGCCCCCCATCTGCAGGGCCGGACACTGCCCATCCGCTTGGTGGGGATCCCGAGGGGGTCATCGGATGCAGAAGGTGCAGGGTGCGTGTGAGCACACCTCACGCAGCGCGCCCCCCCCCCCTTTCCTCACAAGTGTGCGCGTGGTGTAGGTACACGGTCAGGATCCCACTCCTCGAAGCTTCAAGGGATTGCGTGTAAGAAAGCGGGCCGTTTCTCCTCTGCACGGACCAGACGCCACCGGGCGAGCCAGGGGCCAGGCAGAGCGTTGACTCTCAACACCGCCAACAACGGAATCGAGCACTGCTTTTCTCTTCACGTTTCAGGCGTGTGTGGATGATAAACGCGTTGGAAACTGGCAGAGTTCAGATCCGGTTTGGGATACCCAGCCGAATGGAAGCTAGAGTTCCCCGTTACCAATGATCACACTCGCACGTACTAATTCGTTGAACAGTTTACTCAGTAAACATAGAGGAACAGAGGCCTTCTTTTCAAACAGCGGAGAGAAGTGTGGGCACTAGTGTGAGCACTGCCTCCCTAGGCGCCCTTGCTCTCCAGGTGCACCAGTCAGTGGAAACAGGCCAGCAGTGGGCAGGCACAAAAGGGCCGGCAGCCCGACCCTTCTCATTAGCCGTCTGCCCCAGCCTTGTACGCGCAGCGCTGCTGGCCCAGAGCTCAGGGCTCGGCACGTGACACATTCTGCTCTGTGCAAACATACACCAGAGAGTAAGTATATGTAACTCGCTCGTGTGCCTCGGGCTGCCGTGATCACTACCATTCTGATGGCTACGGTGGTAGCAAGTCCATGGTTCAAATGCTCCTCTAACATGCCCACTCTCTTAACACACACTAGATCTGCTTCCCCATCTTCTTGTGACTCTGAGCTTGATGTGTTAATAAATTTTAATGATAGGAATGAGAGTGATGCTTTAAATGAGAACCTCAAATTACAAATGTCACTTCGCTTGCGTTCTCCCTTCATCCTACCAGTGACTCTTCTATAGCTACACTCTCTTTGTTGGGCATTTCTAATGATGTAGGTGTTGTAAAATACCTAAGGATAATGATTTAAGTGTTCAATAAAGTTGGTGTTCCCTGCTTTACTTAATCTTAGAATTCTGAAAGTAACAGCCTCTATGACAAGATGTCCAGATTACCTGGATTCAATGAGTAATGACTGATCTAAATTGCGAAGACCCCACAAAGGAAATAAACAATGATCAGATAAGCATCACCTGCTCCACAGATGGGGAACCCTGTAGCACAGTTACTTGTCATCCTTGTGAGCTGGTCATGAGATGTTACATTGCCTGCTTCTAAGCTGCAGACAGACATCATGAGATAAAGTTTTCTAAGCTGAGAGTGAGCACGGCCTTTCCCTTCACTTTGTGACAAATACAGGGGGCCGGGGGATGGTTGTGCTGGTGCAAAGCATTTTGCTATCACACAGAGCACACAGTCCTATTACAGAGAAACCATTACAGGTAACAGTGCTGTATTCCAATTACGTCCCTGCCTCGAAACACTGATTTCATTGGCTAGCTAATTCGCTAAAGACAGGACCAGAGAAAAACACAAGTTTACTGGCACAGACTATATTGAGAATGGTATCTTTCGAGGTTATACAAAATGGAAGACCTACATGAAAAGCTTCTTCAAAATGCATACTGAAATGCAAAAGCACCTGGAGAGAAAATGCAACTGTGTGGCCTGATGGCAATTACTTCCCTTCAAAAGCCATCCGGGTACCAAGAGAAAAGGACCAGGTGAGACAGGGTAAAGAAAGGTAAACTTCCGGGGCGCCTGGGTGGCTCAGTCGTTAAGCGTCTGCCTTTGGCTCAGGTCATGATCCCAGGGTCCTGGGATCGAGCCCCGCATCGGGCTCCCTGCTCCACGGGAAGCCTGCTTCTCCCTCTCCCATTCCCCCTGCTTGTGTTCCCTCTCTCGCTGTGTCTCTCTCTGTCAAATAAATAAATAAAATCTTAAAAAAGAAAGAAAAGAAAAGAAAGGTAAACTTCCTAAGAGGTATCTGACAAATGACAGCAGATGGGGCTGCTGTGTTGGGGTTCGCTGGTAGTCTACTTCAACCTGACCACCTCTAACTTCACCAGACGGTATGCTGTTGGTGATGGGCACTGGTGTGGAGCCTTTAGAGAGACTCTGTGGCAGTTCTGACTACAGATATGGAAATCTTGTCCACAGGTTACAGAGTACATGGATCATATAGAAAAGCAGCAGAGTATGGAATGAGGGTATGCACAGCAGTGTTTCTAAAGGACATACTGGGACCTATGAGGCATCATTCCTTTCTCCCTCACTCAGGACCTGGTTATCTTTTTTCTTGTCCATACATATTGAACATAAATGCCAATGTGTTTTTGTAAATTGCTTGGCTAATCTAGAGTAGCATTCGACTTCATAAATGTTTTGGATTCTATTACTGAAGAAGTGTTAGTAATAACTGCAAGACCATTGGATACGCAGCAGATGATAATCTGTGGAGCCATTTACATTTGCAGCAAAACAAAACAAAAAACACAGAGAACTTTGTTACTTGTTATAATCGCTACTGAATTGTTTAAAAAAAAACAGAAAATACTGACATTTAGTGTGGGAAATCTTGACAGATGTCAGTCTGTGCCCTGTGAGGCACATGCACCACTAACTGACACACTCAAAATGTTGTTAAATGCTCATCCTTCAACACGGCACAGAAAACAAAGGGTACACTCAAAATATTAACTCAAGAACATTTAATAGAGGGACTATTTACAGATATGTGTTCAGAATTAAGGACACCAACTAGGGATGGTGAAGCATCCGAAGAGCAAGGAGAGGGAGGCGTGAACTGAGAACGGAGTCGACAGCCCCCGAGGAGGACTGCCCGGCAGGAGCTGTGCCCATGCAGGCACAGACTCTGCCCAAACCAAGGCCCAGTAGGGAGGGCGGGGAGGAATGCCCTAGCCTCTCTCCTCCCACGGCTGATCTAGCCGCTTAGCAGAAACCCTAGAGGGCAGCCCCTGGGGTGCAGAGAGAGGAGCAGGAGCAGGGAACAAGCAGCATGTATGCAGGTCCATCACATGTCATCTCTACTGAGTAGATGCTACAGACACAAGTCACCCTGAGCCCTGGGGAAGCAGATTTCTGACTCAGATGATGCAGTCTATTTAACTATTTTAGAAAATTCACCCATAAGTGTTGTTGTTGTTATATAATTTACTTCTAAATAGATCATAACCCACAATACATTGTCACTATTTGGCTTTAAGCAATCGATTACCTTTTTAAAAGATTTTAAAATGAGAAAAAAATCTTTTATATTTACCCAGATATTTACCATTCCCAGAACTCTTCATTTCTTCCTGTAGATACACATTTCCACCTAGGATTATTTTCCTGCTGCCCCCAAACTTACTTAAATTTTCCTGAAGGAAGGCCTACAGCTAATACATTCTCTTTGATTTTGTTTTCCTGAAAAAGTCTTTTTTTCCTTTAATTTTTGAAAGATATTTCTGATGGGTAATAGACAAACGCCAGGTTGCAGGGGTTTTATTTTTTCCCTCAGTAATCCGAAGTGGTCACTCACTCTACTGTCCTGTGGCTTGAGCAGACTCTGCCCGGGAGCAAGCTGTCCTACTCTGTTTTGTGAGCGCGTCCTGTCTTTCCCGAGGTGCTTTACAACTGTTCTTCATCCATTTGACTATGATGTCCATTAGCAGGATTTTTTTTATGTATCTTGTTTGGGGTTCTTTGAACTCCTTGAATATGTGGAGTGACACTTTTCATCCCATTGGTAACAATTTCAGCCCTTATTTATTCAGATACTTTGTTACTTCTCTTCCCCGTCCTCTCCTTCTAGGACTCTGCTCCCCTCCTCTCTTTTCTTCCAGGCTTTTTTTCTCTGTTCATCAGTTGGACAGTTTATATTCTTACTTAAATTCATCAATTTTTCTTCTTCTATGTCTCATCTGTTCTTAATTTCACTCAGAGTTGGGTTTTTTTGGTCATTGTTTTTTTAATTTTCAGATACTGCTGTTTTCATCCTGAGATGTTCCACTTGGGCTTTTAAAAATACACCTTCCATTCTGGTCTTGTCATGTTCATATTTTCCTCTATATTCGAAAGAGCTGCTTGAACACCCTTGTCCAATGCCAAGTGCTCCAGTCTCTTCTATGTCTCTTTCTACTGATTCATTTTTGTCCTGGTTACAAGTCGTATTCTCATAATTTCTTTGCATGTCAGGAAAGTGTTTAGATGCCAGACATTGTGGGTCTAGAGCAGCTTTTAATCTAGGGTGAGTTACTTCACAAGATCATACTCTGCGGGGAGTCCTAATGATGCCCCATGTGTTCAAAGCTGTTCCAATCCAGCTGGTGGGAACTTTATTCCCAGCCCGGCACTGACTTCTGGGAATTGTTCTGCCGCCCGCTTTCCAGCACGCCTTTTCCTTTCACACCCATGCAAATCAGCACTAAGCCAAAAGACTCAAGGGGACTCCTCATAGATTTCTGCAGCCCTCTCTCTGGAAAGCTCCCTCTTCTCCTTTCCCTGCAAATTCTAGCTACCGTGGCCTCCCCAAAGGCCATGTCGGCAGCTCTCTTTGACGAGACCACGTGTTCCTTTCCCCTGAACAGCAGCCTGGGAGCTGCCACCAGGCGCTAGGCTGGGCTGTTGTGGGGCTCACCTCACTCTGTCCACCTTCTGCCGGGGATCACAAACTTCTGCTTGCCATAGGTCTCAAAACTATTCTTTCGCATACATTTTACAGTTTCTAGATGTCGAAGGCAGGGGAGTAATCTGATCCTTGCCGTACCACCATAGCAGAAAGCAGAAGTCTTCACACTTAAAACACAACTACCTTTTAAAAATAACTATTTTTTATAACTTACATACAACAAACACAATGTTATAGAATTCCTTCAACAAGATCATGCTTATCAAAATTCTTCACATGAGGACTTCTCTGTATCGAAATCTCTAATTCATACTACTCAGTATTTTGTGTATGCACTCTCTAGTGTACTGTGAGTTATCCTTTCTTGATGAAACCTCTCACTTGCTTTTTACAACAGTCCAGTTTCTCCTCAAGCGTAGGTCCTCTAACAATGAGCTGTCACTTCTCACTACAAGGGTCTGTACTACCACAATACTGGTAAGACTTCCACGTTAAGTCATTAATGTGTAACAAGCTGTGTGTTCTGGGAGAAGGCTCTCTTACACTGTCTACTTAAACAAATTCCCTCCTCTCCAAATTGTTGGGTGAGACCTGCCATCCCAGTGCACTGACAGGGTTCCTCCTGTGTGTGTGTCCTCGGACGTGTCAGAAGGCATGACGTCTGACAGTAAATGTTCCAAGTTCACAGCATTCACATGGTTTCTAGAGGACGTGAGTCCTCTGATGAATCATGAGCTGCGACTTCCTGCCGAAAGCAGTCCCACACTCACTGCACCCATAGTATTTATCTCCTGTATGAATTCTCTGATGCCTCATAAGGTGAGACTTTCTAGTGAAAGACTTCCCACATTCACCACATTTATAGGGTCTCTCTCCCGTGTGAATTCTCTGATGGATAACGAGCTGTGCCTTCTCAAAGAAGGCTTTTGCACAATCACTGCATCCATAGGTTTTCTCTCCTGTGTGATTTCTCTGATGCTTAATGAGCTGCACTTTCTGAACAAAGGCCTTCCCACACTCACTGCATTCATAGGGTTTCTCCCCTGTATGAATTCTTTGATGTCTAAGAAGCTGTGGCTTCCAGGCAAAAGCTTTCCTACACTCACTACATTCGAAGGGTTTCTCTCCAGTATGGGTTCTCTGGTGATGAATGAGGCTTGACTTCTCACTGAAGGTCTTCCCACACTCCGTGCACTCATAGGGCTTCTCCCCTGTGTGTGTCCTCTGGTGTGAAATCAGGCTTGACTTCTGGGTGAAGGCCTTTCCACACTCACTGCATTCATACGGTTTCTCTCCAGTGTGAGTTCTCTGATGCGTTAGGAGCTGTGACTTCCCAAAGAAGGTTTTTCCACATTCAACACATCCGTAGGGTTTCTCCCCTAAGTGAGTCTTCTGATGTCTGATTAACTCTGACTTCTTAAAGAATGCTTCTTCACAATCAGCACACTGGTAGTTCTTCTCTCCCGTGTGAGTTAGTTGATGCTTGATAAGCTGTGGCTTTCTGATGAAGGCTTCCCCACACTCACTGCACTCATAGGGTTTCTCCCCTGTGTGGATCCTCTGATGTCTGATGAGCAGCGAGTTCCTGCTGAAGGCTTTTGTGCACTCGTTACATGCGTATGGTTTCTTCCCCGTGTGAGTCCTCTGATGAGTAATCAGCTGTGACTTCCAGAAGAAGGCTTTCCCACAATCACTACACTTATAGGGCTTCTCTCCTGTGTGGGTTCTCTGATGGGTAATGAGCTTTAACTTCTGGGAGAAGGCTTTCCCACAGTCACTGCAGCCATAGGGCTTCTCGACTGTGTGGGTTCTCTGATGTCTCTTGAGCTGCGACTTCCTGCTGAAGGCTTTCCCACACTCACTGCATCCATAGGGCTTCTCTCCCGTGTGCGTTCTCTGGTGTAAAATGAGCAGGGACTTCCTACTGAAAGCTTTCTGACATTCACCACATCCATATGGTTTTTCTCCTGAATGAGTCCTTTGATGAATAGTGAGCAGTGACTTCTGGGAGAAGGCTTTCCCGCATTCGCTGCATCCATAGGGCTTCTCTCCCGTGTGCGTCCGCTGGTGTATGATGAGCTGTGACTTCTTACTGAAAATGCTGCCGCACTCCATGCATAAATGGACTCCTGTGTGCGTTCTACGGTTTGCAATGGGCCACGACCCTGTCCTGCTAGCCTTCCTACATTTACTGCAATCACAGTATGGCATTTCACCATGGGTTCTATCAGCTTTGACATACAATAAATATTTCTTATTGAGCTCATCAAGTTTCTTTCTTCCATGGTTATTTTTTGGAATAAGAAACTCAAAAGGATGTTTCAGACTTTTTTCACCTGTGGCACATTTATGGGGTCTCATTCCTAAATGAACAAAGTTAATGCTTGAATGAAATATTTTCCTAAAAACATCATATTCATGGCCTCTCTCCACACTTCTAAGCTTGTCTTGATTATCCTGGTGCCACATTTTGAGACTGTTATCTAGCCAGACTTCTTCTAAAAAGGAAAAAAATGAATCATACTGTGTAAATCCCCCAATGATTACACTCATTGAATAAAACTGAAATGGAGCCTAGGATCCCAATTAAAACAAAACAAAACAAAACAAACCCTCCCAAATATAATGTCTACTTACTGGACATTGGAAATTTTGACAGATACTGTATGTTAACTAACTGGAATTTAAATAAAAACTTAAAAAAATTTTTTTAACAGAAATGAAAACATTTAAAAGTTACAAATGTTTAGAAACATGAACTTTTAAATTAGAAAAGATGAAATACACTCAAGGAGCAGTGATCATGAGCAATTTATGCTCAAATACTGGAGTGATTAATTTCCTTATTCAACAACAATCCGATTATCTGCTGTATGTCCAGAGGGAAGACAAGGGAAGACCACAGGTAACACCCCCGAGTCAGAGGCCTCATGATACAGCGAACACTAGCAACAACCAGCACACAAAGAGCAAGACTGGTATACACTGCTGAATCCTACGAAGGAAGAAACACTGAATACAGAGCTAATACAGGATATCAAGCTTTCATCTGAAAGATGAGAAACATTAGGTTCCTGTACGATCGTTACATTTAAAGTACATTCTCATTCAAGATTGTCACCTGAATCACTGACTTCACCATCAAGGCTATTTCTTGATAGCCAGCATCGACAGTTTTATTTAGGTTTTTTTGACATTTTAAGAGTCTATAATCTATATAATGAATCTACATGTAATCCTACCCATGAAAATCATTCCAAACCACAAGAACTCTCTGTATAATGCATTAGGACAGACTCTCTGTTACCCAGTAAGTACAACTGTTTGTGATTTCCACAACATGATCATTTATTGGATATTTTAAAGTGAAGGTTTGTTTACTTTACAATATTCTTTACTAGTAATTGTGAGGTAAATTCCCAGGGGGTACCCTGCAAGTCAAAAGATTTGGCGAGACCTCAATATAAGGCAACTACTTCTTTTCTGCAGGATTTTTTTTTTTTTTTTTTTTTGGGTGTGTGTGGGAGACTTATCTAATTCTCAGACATATCAGAATTTCAGAAAAAGGACCAACTAGAGTTGCTGATATAAAGAATAAAAGGACTCAATATTTTGAGCTTAAGTGAGTAGAGGTATTAATACTATTCACTGAGATGAAAAAGACTGAGAAAAAGTTTAGAGATTAAAAGCAAGAGTCATGGGGCACCTGGGTGGTTCAGTCGGTTAAGCGCCTGCCTTTGGCCCAGGTCATGATCCCAGGGTCCTGGGATTGAGCCCCGCATCGGGCTCCCCAGAGGAGTCTGCTTGTCCCTCTCTCCCTGCCCCAACTCATGTTGTCTCTCTCAAATAAATAAAAATATTTTTTTTAAAAAGCATTAAAAAAATAAAAAAAATTAAAGAATTAAAAAAAGCAAGAGTCATATGTAGACATGTAAGCGTGAAGCCCAGCTGAACAGTTCATAAAAAATGGTTTCATGAAATCTGAGTAAAGAAATGAAAATTTTAAATTAAAATCAAAACAAGAAATAAAATTAATATATATACAAGTTAACAAATAATATAAAATAATATTCAAGTAGTTCAACTGTATCAAAAAATATTTAAGAAATAAAAAATCTTGGGGCACCTGTGGGGCTCAGTCAGTTGAACGTCCAACTCTTGGTTTCAGCTCAGGGTGTGATCTCAGGATCCCGGGATCTGACCCTGTGTCAGGCTCTGTGCTCAACAGGGAGTCTGCTTGGGATTCCGTGTCTCCCTCTCTCTCTCTCTCTCTGCACCCCACCCCCTCTCTCTCTCCAAAAAAAAGAAAGAAAAGAAAAGAAAAAAAAATCTTGTCATTTTGGAAAACAAGTAAGTTGTCTCCGACTGGTATTATGCAGGGCCAGGCACAGGTGAACCCACTTCTCTCTGTCACACTCCGGTCCACACTGCCTGCATTTCACTTTAGTTTTCAAACTAATATTCCTACTTCCAGCCTTGCTCCCTCCCAATTCTAGTCTCCAGAGAGCCAGTGAGCTTTAAAACATGTGATCAGGCTTTTTACCCCCTTGCTTAAAAAAAACCCTTTGATAAATGCAAGCTTTTGCCATGGCTCACATGCCCTAGCATGCCCTGGTCTTTCCAACCTCTCCGACTTCCTCTCACACACTCTTGCTCACTGCTGCTCCACCACATGAATTCCTTCTCATCCCTTTGATCTCAAAGCCCTTTTCTGCCTCAGGACCTTTGCAATGGCTGTTCCTTTTATTTGGCATGCTCTTCCCAGCTTTCGGCATGGCTCATTCAAGTGTAAAAATCATTTCAAGGGCATCCTAACAACATCCTGTTTATTTCCTTCATAGCACTTATCAAATAGGTAATCACCTTACTTCTGCGTCCCCCACTAGAATGTAGACCGTGAGGGCAGGGAAGAGGTTTGTATTTCTCACTGATGTAACCCCAATGCATGCAGGGAGCAAGTCCTCAATACATGTAGGATAAACACTGTGCACTCACAACTGGATTTCTAAAGAAGTTCCTTTCTGTATCATTAATCTTGATTAAAAAAACTTTGCATTTTAAGGGGCACCTGGGTGGCTCAGTCGTTAAGCATCTGCCTTCGGCTTGGGTCATGATTCCGGGGTCCTGGGATCAAGCCCCACATCGGGCTCCCTGCTCCGCGGGAAGCCTGCTTCTCCCTCTCCCACTCCCCCTGCTTGTGTTCCTGCTCTCACTATCTCTCTCTGTCAAATGAATAAATAAAATCTTTTAAAAAAAAACTTTGCATTTTAATACAAATGCTTTGTGTTCAAATACTGAATTATTGAATAAATATAGTTCTCCATTTTCTTCTACGTTAAAATTGTCTGCAATGCTATTTCACGACTCTTTCACTCAATTCCTCTCATTCCACAGGATAGCAGTCATTCTAAATTAATGGGTGAAGAGAAAAATCTATCTTCACAGACAATATTTTCTAAGGTACACATACCCAGACCTAATCATCCATGTGAATGGTACCTAGACATCTATCATTTGAAATATTTCCTAAGGTGAGCTGAGATAGTTGCTTAGATGTAGACCTTTGCACTAAAGAATATAAACAAGAAAGGTCCTGCCTTACCTGGCCGCACAACACTCAATTAATGAAACATTTAATAATTACACACCGTAAATTCTACAGGGAAAAGAGAAAAATAAGTTACTTGCCATCTTAATATGTGAGTAAAAAATCGTTAAGACCTAATTGGTTAAAAATTGGTGAAAAATTCCAGATAACGCCTGACCGGGGCCAGGGTTCCTATAATACAACACAAAGTGGGCAGAGATTTCAGAAAGGCTGGGAGTCAACATTCACTGGAGGTGAAAAAGGGCAAAACCGAAGAGGCATAGTGTCTACATGGAGAAAGGATATGATAATCAAAGGATCAAAGGCCTACGTGCAGAGAAAAATGTATGACACGTGGAAGAAACTAGTTCTAATGGAGTTAACCCTGACTTCTGGACACAGAAATTAAAAACAAAAAACAAAAAAAATGGATAAGATGTTGCCATACCATGAGGTTCTTCAACATAAATGTCATTAAAATATCACACGGCACATGGGGGTTAATGAGGAGCCTGGAGAAGATGAACATTAAGGCACCAAAACGAACCCAGGAGCTGACCGCAAAGGGCTCAGTCTGCATGGAGGAGGGAGAGAGGCAGAGCCTCCTCACCAGGCTTACAGTGTTCTGTTTTTATTCTATATGCATGGATTCACCTTCTACTCTCTGTGGGCTTAAAACAGAAATCCGACAAATTAGAGGAAGAAAAGAAAATAAAGGACTCAGTCAGCGTCCCTGCAACAGGAGAAAGTTTTGAACTCTTCAGGAGGAAGAAGGAAGCCTACCCCTGCAGAGTGGAAGTGCAGGAGAGAAGGATGGGAGCTGAGGAGGCTGGGAAGAGGAGCCTTGTCCCAGAAAGCAAGGTCCGCTGTGCAGGGAAGGGGGTACGTACCATCATGAGCTCGTGCAAAGAGCACATCCTGATGCACAGACCAGGACAGAGAGCACGTTAAAATGCAGAAGAACTCAGGTCACCAGTCCTGAGCCAACTCTACAGACGCAGGAACTTCACACAGTTTTACAAATAACATTTCAAAGTAACTTTTCAAAACATTATAAACAACCTATCATCAGAAACCTGTGATTCAGGGCGCCTGGGTGGCTCAGTCATTAGGCGTCTGCCTTCGGCTCAGGTCATGATCCCAGGGTCCTGGGATCGAGCCCCGCATCGGGCTCTCTGCTCAGCGGGAAGCCTGCTTCTCCTTCTCCCACTCCCCCTGCTTGTGTTCCCTCTCTCGCTGTGAAAGAAGAAAGAAAAGAAAAGAAAAGAAAAGAAAAGAAAAGAAAAGAAAAGAAAAGAAAAGAAAAGAAAGGAAAGAAAGAAAGAAAGGAAAGAAAAAAGAAAGAGAAAGAAAGAAAGAAAGAAAGAAAGAAAGAAAGAAAGAAAGAAAGAAAGAAAGAAAGAAAGAGAAAGAAACCTGTGATTCAGCTTGCACCTGATGACCTCTCACCTGAAAAGTTCTGATTTAGAACTTCTTCGTCTATTATCCACGGCTCTTCGTGTTCCAGCTTGAAAATTGCATCAGGTTTGATAATTTGATAACCTGTTAATTGGAAACATAAGACAACCTGGACCCAATTCCTTGGGCTGACGGACTCTTAAATATGGAGAATATTTACTACGAACGCTATAAAACAAAGCAAGTGAACCAAAATCTTTCAGTTGGGTCTAGATATCGAAGAATCTTTTGATATCTGAAACTTAAATCCAAAATCAGTAAACATCTGAGAGGCCCCACAGTTACTGGATACACACTATTTACATACGAATATTCTTACCCAAGAAAACTAGATTGCTGTAGTTCTCCAACATCACCTCTCTGTACAAGCTCTTCTGAGAAGGGTTGAGTAGCTGCCACTCCTCCGACGTGAAGCCCACAGCCACATCCTCAAAGGAGATCTGGAAAAGCGTCATCACTGTTCAAGCTGCAGTGGCACTCACGGTGGGACACAGGCTTTCTTCTCTAGCGCAGAGGCAGCCTCGTCCATCTCTAACTCCCCTCCTGAACGTGGGCAGGCCTTACGGACTCACTTCCACTGAGGAGAGTCTTGCTCCATCTTGGAGCCCTGTCAACGCTCTCTCGGGGAGAATCCAGCTGCCACGTGGTGAGGCAGTTCTGTGGAGATGCCTATGTGGAGAGGCACCGAGGTCCGCTAACTCCCACGTGACTGAGCCTGGGAGGGGATCATCTCCCTGCTGCACCCCGAGAGGACCACAGCCCTGCCCAACGTCTTCGTTACAGGGCTGTGTGAGACCCTGAACGGGAACCAGATGTGAGCACAGCTGGCAAACTTCTAACCCAGAGAAACTGTGAGAGAAATGTTTATGCTGTCAGCCACTGAAGTTTGGGTAATTTGTTACATAGCAATTGATAACTCATATAATATCCTAACCTTCATTATACTTTGAGAGAAACAAAAAGTTATTAAGCTATTTATCATTTTGAATTCACTCATCCATCCATCCACCTATCCATTAAGAAACTGGAATACATTGTGTTTAAATAAGCACAGTCCTTTTCAAAGAAGGTGCCACTGGTATGTGGGGACAATTCTTAGCCGAACCCCATGCAGTATCAGACCTCCAGCATGCCTGGCACCTACCTGCTGAATGACAGTCCTATTTTCCTGTTACTGTCAAAACCAAAACCACGACTACAGATCTACAACACTCTCCTCCCTCCGCATCTGCACCCACGTAGTAACAACTAGCTGGCTCCTCCACGTATCCTCTGGGACACACATATGGAGCATGTCACAGAGCTCCCCAAACTGTGAATGGTGCCAAAAATATAAAGATGAGTAGAATAAAAATCATGTTCTTAAAACTTTTCAGTCTTTTCAGGCCAGGAAAGAAGGTGTTACAGAGGCCAGGAAAAAGTACATAGAGGGTTTTGGGACAAAAGGCAAAGGAGCTACAAAGTGAAAACAAGCTGGAAAAAGAACAATGTTGCGGGATTCACTCTACCTGACTTCACAACTTCCGATAAAGCCACAGTAATTAAGACAACCTAGTGTTAGTCAAAGGATAAATACATAGAGGAATGGAACAGAACAGACAGCTTACAGTTACACCCCCCTTAGTATACTCAATTGAATTTTGACAAAAGGATTCCATGAAGAAAGGAGTTTTTTCAACAAATGGTGCTAGAACAACTGTATACCCATAAGCAAAAGAATAAACCTCAACACATACCTCATACCTTATATAAAAATTAATTCAAAGTGGATCACAGACCTAAATGGAAAACATAAAACTATAAAGCTCTAGGAAAAAACCTGCATGATCCTGGGTTTGGCAGTAAGTTTTTAGATATAACACTGAACATATGATCAACTTAAGAAAAAAAATCAATGAAATGGGCTTTTTCAAAATTAAAATTTTTTTCTATGTGAAAGACACTGTTAAGAGAAAGAAAAGACGGGGCACCTGGGTGTCTCAGTCGTTAAGCATCGGCCTTTGGCTCAGGTCATGATCCCAGAGTCCTGGGATCGAGCCCCACATTGGGCTTCCTGCTCAGCGGGAAGCCTGCTTCTCCCTCTCCCACTCCCCGTGCTTGTGTTCCCTCTCTTGCTGTCTCTCTCTGTCAAAAAATAAATAAAATCTTAAAAAAAAAAAAAAAGTTTAAAAAAAAAGAGAAAGAAAAGACAAGGCACAGACTATGAGAAAATACTTGAAAATCACTAATCTGACAGACCACTTACGTCCAGAATAAAGAATTCTTTTTTTTTTTAAGATTTTATTGATTTATTTGATAGAGAAAGAGAGAGAGCATGAGCAAGGGGAGGGGCAGAGGGAGAAACAGACTCTCTGCTAAGCAGGGAGCCTGACGTGGGGCTCGATCCCAGAACCCTGAGACCATGACCTGAGCCGAAGGCAGCTGCTTAACTGACTGAGCCACCCAGGCGCCCCCAGAATAAAGAATTCTTGACACTCAACAATAAGAAAACAATTCAATTAAAAAATGGGCATCTCTTGAAGCAAGGGAAATATAAGCAAAAATAAACTATTGGAACTTCATAAAAATAAAAAGCTTCTGCAAAGCGAAGGAAAAAATCACCAAAACTAAAAGCTAACCTACAGAATGGGAGAAGATATTTGCAAGTGACATATCTGATAAAGGGTTAGTACCTAAAATATATAAAGAACTGATACAACTCCACACCCCAAAAAACAACCTAATTTAAAAATGAGCAGAAGACATAAACAGACATTTCTCCAAAGACAACATCCAGATGGCCAACAGACACATGAAAAGATGCTCCACATCACTTGCCATCAGGGAAATGCAAATCAAAACCAAATGAGGTATCACCTCACACGGGTCAGAATGGCTGAAATTAACAAGTCTGGAAACAACAGGTGTTGGCGAGGGCGCAGAGAAAGGGGAACCCTCCTACACTGTTGGTGGGAATGCAAGCTGGTGCAGCCACTCTGGAAAACAGTATGGAGATTCCTCAAAAAGTTAAAAATAGAGCTGCCCTACAACCCAGCAATTGGGCTACTGGGTATTTGCCCAAAGATACAAAATCAATACTTCAAAGGATACATGCACCCGTTACAGAAGCATTATCTACAACAGCCAAGATCCGGAAGCAGCCAGAATGCCCACTGACTTACGCATGGATAAAGATGTGGTGTGTACACACAATGGAATGTTACCAACCAAAAAAAGAATGAGGCGCCTGGGTGGCTCAGTTGCTAAGCATCTGCCTTCAGCTCAGGTCATGATCTCAGGGTCCTGGGATCGAGTCCCGCATTGGGCTCCCTGCTCAGTGGGGAGCCTGCTTCTCCCTCTGACCCTCCTCCCTCTCATGCTGTCTCTCATTCTCTCTCTCAAATAAATAAATAAAATCTTAAAAAAAAAAACTTAAAAAAAAAAAAGAAATCTTGCCATTTGCAATGACGTGGATGGACCTAGAGAGTATAATGCTAAGTGAATTAAGTCGGTCAGAGAAAGACAGATACCATCTGATTTCACTCTTATGTGGAACTGAAGAAACTAAACAAATGAGCAAAGGAAAAAAAAAAGAGAAACAATCCAAGAAACAGACTTAACTACAGAGCACTGGTGTTTAGCAGAGGGGAGGAGGGTGGGCGGGAGTGAACCAGGTCCAGGGGACCAGGCGTACACTTACCGTGAGGAGCACGGAGTGATGTGTGGGAGTGTTGAATCCCTACACTGCACGCCTGAAACTAATACAACGTTGCATATTAATGACACTGGAATTAAAATGAACAAAACCCCTCTTATTTAAAAAACAAACAAGAAAGATGAGCAAAAGATCTTTTTTTTTTTTGAAGATTTTATTTATTTATTTGAGAGAGAGAGAATGAGAGAGAACACATGAGAGGGGATAGGGTCAGAGGGCAAAGCAGACTCCCTGCCGAGCAGGGAGCTCGATGTGGGGCTCGATCCCGGGACTCCAGGATCATGACCTGACCCGAAGGCAGTCGCTTAACCAACTCAGCCACCCAGGTGCCCAAGCAAAAGATCTTAACACACACTTCACCAAAGGAGATATACAGATAAAAAATAAACATATAAAAAGATGTTCAGCATCTGCATGGAGCACTGGGTGTTATGCACAAACCATGAATCATGGAACACTTCATCTAAAACTAATGATGTAATGTATGGGGATTAACATAAGAATAAAAAAAAAAGTCCAAAAAAAAAAGATGTTCAGCATCATTTGTCAATAGGTAAATGTGAATTAAAACTATAATGAGACGTTACTACATACCTATTAGAATTGCTGAAATTAATTTAAAAAACCCACATAAAAAGTGACAAATGCACAGCAATTCCAACTCTCATGCACTGAAGGTGGGAACGCAGCGACCTTGGAAGAGGTTTTGGCAGCTTCCCATAAAGCTGAATGCAGAATTACCACACAACCCAGCAATCCTACTCCCACATACCTGCCCAAGTACACTGAGAACTTCTGCTCACCTCAAGATTTATGTTTAAACCTGTATGCAGATGAACTGCTAAAAACCGAAGCAACCAAGATGTCCTTCAAAAGCGAAAGGACGAGCAAACTGGTGTGTTCATATGATGGGTTACTGTTCCGTGACTCAGCAATAAAAGGAACAGACTACTGATTCAAACATGGATGAATCTCAAAGATTTAAGTGAAAAAGGCCAGTATCAAAAGGGTATATATGTGTGATTCCATTCTCCAACATTCCGGAAAAGGCAGAACTGCAGCGACAGAGAGCAAAGCTGTTGTTGCCAGGACCGCGGGACGCATGAAGGCGAGACTCAGGGAATGTCTCTGGAGACTGGACCCGTTCCAAGTCCTGACTGTGATGTTGTTTACACGTCTGAAAACGCATGAGGGGTCAAGCTCCTGGTTAAGGCCCAAGCACAGGTAAACCGAAGGCTTTACGTGACTGGCCTCCCAGGGAAAGCTGCCCTTCCCCACACCGATGTGGCACCAGAGGACTCGTATTCCGGTCCTCACTGCTGAATGTGCTATTGGTGTGGACTTACTGCCTATGTACACTGGTCAGCCTTCGCCCCTAAGCCCAGACAGCAGCGGCCACAGCCAGGGCCGTGACAGCAGGTATATGGAAGACCGAACCTGCCTCGTGGGCTCTAGCTCGTGCCCCAGGTGAGCCCCAGACTGGCAGGTAAAACGAACCCTCCTGCAGGATGACACATTTGAATACAAGTAAGATCTGTTCCTAATAAGCCTGATTTTTTTTTAAGATTTTATTTATTTAATTGAGAGAGAGAGTGAGCGCACATGAGTGGGGAGGGAGGGGCAGAGGGAGAGGGAGAAGCAGATTCCCTGTTGAGCAAGGAGCCCGATGCGGGGCCTGATCCCAGGACTCTGGGATCATGACCTGAGCCGAAGGCGGTCGCTTAATCGACTGAGCCACCCAAGTGCCCCTAGCAGCCAAATCCTAAACATGATGTATCTTTCTGGTTAAGTTACATAGTATTTGTCCTTCTTGCATACAATCTTTCCAGACAAAGGGTCTGGATGAAAACAGGAGATGAACTTTTAAAAAGTTCTGATTACTAAATGGGACACACTGATACTAACAACAGAAAAACAAATACAAAATAAAGCTAGCACCTGGGGAAGCATGGGGTTGGAGGACACGAATGATCTTTGTTTTTTGGACTTACTCCTGAAAGCTTTCCCCTCCTACTGGAAAAAAGAAAAACCAAAAGAAACAACTTTCTAGTGCTGCCTTTGCAAGCTCATGGGGATGCTCTGGGTTTAGACTGACTGTTGGGGCAACAAAGATGCCTTCCTGACGGGCCGATGGGGAGACAGCAGAGGACAGACTCTGCTCCTGCACTTTCCAGGCCAAACATGCCCAGATAGTGCCCACATCTAACAAAGTGTGGACTAATAATCTGAGGTCGTGGACAAAGTGATTTGGAAGGAAATGCCCCAAGCAGTCCCTCTAAAACCGCATTATCCAGACTGGACTAAAAACCCCAGGGCAGGGCGCCTGGGTGGCTCAGTCGTTAAGCGTCTGCCTTCAGCTCAGGTCGTGATCCCAGGGTCCTGGGATCGAGCCCCGCATCGGGCTCCCTGCTCCGCGGGGAAGCCTGCTTCTCCCTCTCCCACTCCCTCTGCTTGTGTTCCCTCTCTCGCTGTCTCTCTCTGTCAAATAAATAAATAAAATCTTTAAAAAAATAAATAAAAATTAAAAAAAAATAAAAACCCCAGGGCAGAAGGGCCCACACTGGGGGCCGTGTTAACCTAGGTGTGGACTAGAGCAGGCCCTGATGGGGGTCCCCTCTGTAATTCCTTTTCTTCTAGGAGAACCACGTGTCCTCTGGGATTGCGCTGCTGATGTTGTTCCCCAACCATCGTGACACTCTCCATTAAGTCAAAAAAGTAAAAAGACTAAAGGCAGATACTCCCATGCCCAGCTTTTGCCAACAGAAGCAAAAACATGTCTACCTAAAATGTATCCCAAATTCCAACTGAGAGAATATTTATGGGGGCCATTTGAAGGTTTTGTAATGATCAATTCTGCCAGATGACTTAGGTTTCTTTCCTAATACTAGAATAGAGGTAAGACTGGTGGTCCAGGCCCACTGGTTTGGTCCTGTAGCAAACTATGTGTTCTGAATTTTACCTTAGATTCATGCCCTTAGTTCACACTGAGGAACTCTGTAAGAAATAGCACTGGGAAATAAGTTCATTTATTGCAGGGTTTATGTATCATAGGGCCGCTATTTAGGACTCTGTCCACTGTATCATCCACATAAACAGCTATCCAAATGTCTTCACTGTAAGCAATCATTAGCAAATGCCTGCTTCTACTGAGTAGCTGGTCTGCTTTTTGTCAGAAAAAACCACGTAATACTACTGTTTCCCTTCCCATGTCCACTTCCGGGAATATCTGAGGACAGCCCGCACCTCTCCTCTGGCAACGAAGTACCTTATTTCCTATATATCTGTGCTTCCACTGTAAGACTTTTGTGTGATTCCATAACCCACCTTGTTCTCTGACACCTTCTTTCCCAAGTTTGTTTCTGAGTATGATTTAAATGTATTTAAGAGCTTTCCCATAAGTCTTGTCACGCCTACAGAAAAATACTGTTGGAGAACAAAGAACTCACCTGTGACTTGATCATTTTCTGCGGCTTGGAAAATCGGCTCCGTTCTGTGACTCCTGTCTGTCCTGATGCTCTGGAGAGAGGCTTCTGGTCAAATGTCTGTAAACTAAGAGAGCACCCCTAGTCCTGAGGCCTCTTCTTTCTTATCTCACTTGAATTTTCTCGTTCCTCAGTCATGGCCTGGAGATACAGTGGGAATTTTATTTTAGATGATGTCACTAATCTGGGTTCTCTCTTACTGGGAAATCAAACAACTCGAATCAGGGCTGGGAGGTAAGAAGCAGATGCAAGAGGAACTCCTGGCAAGTCTGTATCAGGCCAGGCCTGCACCACGCTACACTCTGCAGTCCCTGCAGTCCCACCTATAAATGCCAGATTCAAGCCACTCGCCTCACCAGTTCAGCCAAACATCTCCGGAGGAGCATCACCACATCAAGACGCTCTCCAGAAATAGAACCTTGGCTCACTCATTCTGCAACAGTATTTTCAGAGAGCATTTAAGTGAACTTACTGGTACAGCTCATATAGAGTAAGATGCAACTCATTTCTTTTTCTTTTATAAAGCTGTTTTTTTTAAGATTTTATTTATTTATCTGAGGGAGAGAGAGACAGAGAGCACAAGCAAGAGAGAGCACAAGCCAGGGAAAAGGCAGAGGGAGAAGCAGATTCCCTGCTGAGCAGGGAGCCCGATGCAGGGCTCAATCCCAGGACCCTGGGATCATGACCTGAGCCGAAGGCAGACCCAGGCGCCCCAAGAGGCAACCCATTTCTGAGCAGAATGGTAAACAGATGACGGCTCTTAGATCAAGATGATGATAGACTGGGGTGTTGGCGCTCAACTCCAAAATCAGCCGGAGAGCAAAAAGAAAGCCTCAATAAGAGGAGCCAACAGAAACAGTGAAAAGATGAGAGGTGCTGGGGGAGACTCGTGTGTGGGTTTGTGCCTTTCCCTCAGAAGCCAGCAGGAACAGCCAGGCCTCATTTCCAAGGAGTAATGGAAGCGGATCAAAATCCCTGATGAGGGGCGCCTGGGTGGCTCAGTCGTCAAGTGTCTGCCTTCGGCTCAGGTCCTGGGATCGAGCCCTGCATCCGGCTCCCTGCTCCGTGGGAAGCCTGTTTCTCCCTCTCCCACTCCCCCTGCTTGTGTTCCCTCTCTCGCTGTGTCTCTCTCTGTCAAATAAATAAATAAAATCTTTAAAAAAAAAAAAATTCCTGATGAGTGAAGGGCTGCCCTTCCTCATCTCCCAGCCCCCTCCATATCCCAAAGACACTGCTCCAATCTGCTTCTTTCTGAGGGTCTCTGATCCTTGACTGGAGGAGATGCTTGAAGGGGTGGTGGGACACAGGGCTGTCCAATGGTTCCACAGGGTCCACGTTGTTGGCCCTGGTGCCCCTTCCTGCTCTTCCCAGAGCATGCAGGAGAGCACCTAACACCTCTAGGGGACTACAAGCTCAGAGGCCATCAGCGGCACACATAAAATAAAAGTAAGAAAAAAAATTAATTTTCCCTCATGCAAGAAAGGGAGACTCCCCCGACTTCTACTCAAAAAGCACTTACTTCAGAAAACCCGTAATTGTACATTCTTTCTCTGCCCCTTTGAAATGTGTGTAAATCTCTTCTAATGCTAATAAGCCTTATCTAGTTTACCACCCAAAATGTCTTTCTTAAGGACCCAGGAGCTATCTCTTTGATGGCATCCAGGAGGATAGGCGCCCTACTTCCGAGTCTCAGGAAGGGCAAGACCCTAACCAAGTGCCTGACTTTGGCACCTGGCTCCCAGGTATAAAACCACCCCCAATCACAAAGATATGAGAAGGCTATTTTTCGTTTGGACAAAGGCGAAAGCTAACACAATGGCCACCCCAAGTACCAGGAAAGTGTAGTAAGAACTGTGTGTAACAGATTATCCTTTATCTTGAGAATGGGTGTGTAATGGGCGTACCCGCCTGACTGCAGGGAACAGTGAGATTTCTGTCTCTGCAGTCTCTTCAGCATGTTGCCTGCAAAGCTCAGTGCATTCTTGTTTCAAGTTTAATTTTTATGCAACAATAAAACTGTTTTTCTTTTTCTTCTGCTTTGGCGAAGAGATTTTTGGGTTGGCTGATTTGGATTTAATGATTTCCCCAAGAGGCCAAATAACCAGATAACTGAGTACAACCGCTATTTTAAAAACTTTTTAAGAGATTGTAAACTACATAACAGATACCTTAGGCAGAATTATTGGAAAAAACAAAACTAAGATTTCAGGTAAGTATAATAAACAAAAAATACTAAATCTTGATGCATACACATACTTACACCTTGATTTCCTTCACTGCTCATGGACCAGGTCACTTACATTCAACCAGAGAGGAGACAAGAGCCAGGGACTTCAGAGGCATAAAATCACACAGAGATGCTATTTCCTTCCTAAGAATATACCTGAAAAGAAATGTCCAAAAAATCACAGTACCCAGTCAACTTGGGAACAAGAGGGACAAATTCCACCTCTCACAGCAGTCCTGCCAACGGAGATTTGTCCAGCACTGGTGGTCTGTACCTGGGGTCCAGGAATGGCTGCTGAGCTTTGTCTCCGCAGGCTGTCAGGCTAGCGAGGAAGCCCGAGCATGGTGGACGGGTCAGCAGACACCTTTCCAGAAAATAAGCTGAACAAAGAGAGGGTATAGTACCTGTACAAGATGGACAGCAAGAGCTCTTTGTCTAAAGGCACTGTTTCATTCAAGCGCAGGGGAGGGGGGTCTCCAATGTCCCAATGGATATAGTGAAAAGTCAGCCACAGATGAAGAGAGAAAATTATGCCCGGATGTTAGCCAACTGCCGAGTTCTGCCCCAGGGCAGCTAACAAGAGCAGAGCCAGAACACCAGCCCCTCGAGGCAGTTACAACCCACCCCAAGTTGGGCTGAGGGCTGGAAAGAGATGAGACAAGGCTGTGCTCAAAACCACATGCTCGGGAACCCTACACAGCTCAGTCAGCCGAGCCCATGCCCTGTGCAGACAGTGAGCAGGAAGCGGAAGGCTGTGGGAAGAACAGGCCCATCACAGAGCACTACCTTCAAGAGGGCTGGAGCTAGACAGAGCTGAAGGTGCTTCAGGGATGGAGGAGGACACAGGGACTCAGCCAGCAAGGGGAAGGCCTTATGGCCAATGGGGTCACTGAGAACATAAGGAAATATTCCAGTAAAAGGAGCCATCACAAACCAACAACGTGATGTGCTGGCTGAGAAGAACCACAGAACAAAAGAGTATGTCATTCAAGAGAAGTCACTATGTGAGAGTCTTGCCTGAGCCAATGTGTGACCAACACTCATTGGGACCCACCCAAACCCACAAGCACAACTCACAGAGGTCCTATCACCAAAGATGGCCTCAATCACACATAAGTCCCCACAGAATGACTGAAGCCCCCTGCCACCCCAGCCCACGGACGGAACGTCAGCACTCAGAGGCTCCCACTTACCCACACTGACCACCTGAGAATTCTCCAGCCCCTCATTCACTGACCACAACAGAGCCCTCACAAGTCTCCAGACCACATAGTCACCGAGCGCCACAAACCTATCACTTCCCCCACTTGCCCCTCATCCCACCAGGACCCTGACTGCTGACTTTACAGGCTGTCCCTCCTGGACCTTCAGTTACACATACACATCCCCAGGGACTCCTCTAGCAAAGCACCCAATCATCAACCCCCAGGTGACACCATCAGTGAAATCCAAAGTCTCTCCACAGCCCCACCCCCAATCAGGTATCTACAGGACCCTTGATTCCCGATCATTCCAGGCTCTTCCTCACTCAGCCCCAAACACCAGCCATGGTCAGCCTCTCATCACTGATTCCCACTGATTCCCACTAGCTTCTCGACACTGATGCCACGAAACCCATCACTGGATCCCCCACACTCCTACCCAATAATCTTGACAGAGTTTATTCTATTTGTTGACTAGAAGTGGAGTCAGTGAAATCCTACAGCTACCCATCCACTCACTCTAAAAGTGCCCCCAGTCACTGTTCTCACAGAGCCCCCTCAGGCTTGCTAGCCCCCATCACGACACCCAAGGGATGGCCAATCCCTAATCATACAGGGGCCCTAACCATTCATTTCCATGAGACCCCATTTTCTAATCTACCCCATGCTCACCCACCATTCACTAACACCCCTACAGTCCTCCTAATCACCACCCAAAAGGGCCACCAGCTCTGCATTAACACCAATAGGCTGGTACCTCCAGTTCCTACCCCCACTGTCCGCTCATTCACAGCTTGCATCCAGACCCCTTGTCCAACCCATCGATCAGCAGGGACTACAGTCCAGCTGGCCGCTGATGAGGCACAGGATGAGAGTTTGGAGGGCTGGTATCTGGCCTTGTCAGAGGCCAACAAGGGGGCATGTGTTCCGGGGTCATCCAGGCAAGGCGGCTCTCCGCAGCGAGGTCTTTCCTGGACACACGCGGGAGTGGGCGAGATTTCTCAACCCTCCTGCGTCCGGGAAATCCAACACTGTCACGAACCCACAGGCCCTCCAGTCGATGGAGTCCTCGGCCCACCAGTCCTGAGCCCTCTAAACACCCCAAAACGCACTCCCCCAAAGGCCTTACCGCTTGCCAACCCAAAGGCGCCTCAGTCACCGGTCACCGGAGTCCGTTTTTCCGGCGAAGCCGCCCTCAAGCTGCCTCCCCGACGGCACACTCACCCTCTCCCACACGCGGAGGGCAGCCTCCAGGGGCTCCCGCACCCCACCCGGCCCCGCCTCCAGTCTCGGCCTCCGCCCAAGCCCCTTCCAAGAGTCACCCCAGGGCCCCCCAGCTCGCCAACGACCACCCGCCCCGTTCCCAGCCCCAGATCACACCGATGGATCGCAGACACGCCAGTGTCTTGCCCCTGCCCCACGACCTCGCTCGGGTCCTCATCACGGCCACTACAGGCGGCCCCCCACACTCGCCCCGTCTCTACTCACCCCGTCCCCTAAGCGCAGCCCCAAGACCGCCCCGCCCGGCCGGAACCGGCGCCCGGGCCGCGGGGCCGTCCCCGGCCCCACCCCGCAGCCTCGCCGCTCCCGGCTCCCGAGCCAGCGCGCGCGCGCGCCGGGGTCGCCACGGGCCGCACGGGCCCCGAGGCCGCCCCGGCCCCGCAGCCTCGCCGCCCCGCCCCCGCCGCACACACCCTCGGCTCGGGCCCGCGGCGCCGGGACTCACGCGGCCGATCGCGGAAGCGCGCGCGCGGAACTACATTTCCCAGACTCCCGCTCGCCCCGGAACTACATCTCCCCCCGGGCTGGGCGGCGCGCCTCTTCCGATTGGCAGTTCGTGGTTTCCGGTTGACAGCGCCTCGGCGCTGCCTGGGGCTCCTGCGTCAGAGACCGGGGTAGAGTCTGCGCTGCCCGGAATGGACGTGTGAGTGAGCGCACGTGTGTCACCAGGAAGAAGCTTCTGTGTCCGTTTCATATGCTTTAGCTTCCCATGAATGCTGTTACCGACAAAACATTAAACCTTCAAGGTCTTGGTCTCAGGGCGTCATTATTAAATAACTGGAAAACCGCACTAGCTGGAAGCCTCCCTGAACGTCCTTAGCAAATGTTCAGGAGCGCAGAACTGCGTGAAGTGGACAGCGTCTTCCCAAGGCCAACAGAGCGGGATCACCTCTGCCGCAGGTCGGCCGACTTGCTGTTGACTTCATCCTCTATCAGTTACGGGTTAGGTTGCTTTTAGACACCAGTTACATGGTGCGTACGATGCTGGATAGACTCCTTATCCTTAATAGTGTTCTTTGGGACGAGTCCACACCTTGTCACAATCTGCTGATGATTTGACTAAAACTGATAGTTTCCAGGTGCCTGGGTGGCTCAGTCGGCTAAGTGTCTGCCTTCAGCTCCGGTCATGATCCCGGAGCCCCCAGATTGAGCCCCACGTGGGGCTCCCTGCTCAGTGGGGGAGTCGGCTTCTCCTTCTGCGCCTCACTCCGCTCTCGTGCTCTCTCACTCTCTCTCAAATAAATAAATATAATCTTAAAAAAAAAAAATTAGTACCAAAGTAAGTTGGGTGGGAAGTAACTACAAACTTAACTGTCAGGTTTTTTGGTTTGTTTTTTTTTTTAAGGTTTTCTTTATTTATTTGACAGAGAGAGAGAGCTAGAGAGGGAACACAAGCAGGGGGAGTGGGAGAGGGAGAAGCGGGCTTCCCGCCGAGCAGGGAGCCCGATGCGGGGCTCGATCCCAGGACCCCGGGATCATGACCTGAGCCGAAGGCAGATGCTTAACCACTGAGCCAACCAGGTGCCCCTGGTACTAATTTCTTGGTAAATTAGTTGATTTCCTAAGTGAATTGGATCAAACCGCTAAGTGCGTTTTAAAAGACAAGGCTTTTTTTTTAAGTAGGCAGTTTATTTTTTTTTCAAGTTTTTATTCAAATTCCAGTTAGTTTACATACAGCGTAACATTAGTTCAGGTGTGGAATCTGGTGATTCATCACTTACATACAACACCCAGTGCTCATCACAAGTGCCCTTCTCATTTAAGTAGGCAATTTAGTTTATCCCCCCATAGCTAGTTCTTTCAGACTTCACAATGGGGATGGGACCTGTTTTCTTCGTTTATTTTGGGTAAAATTGGATCTTGGCCTAGAAGTCTCTGATGTGTAATGAAGTCTTAATGGTATCTAAAGACTTTATTATGCTCATTAGGTTCATAGAGTCTTTCTTCAGTATGAATTCTCTGGTGTTTAATACGGCTTGAGCAATAACTAAAAATCTTCCCACATTATATATAGTTAGAAACTTTATATTTAGCATAAATATCCTGGCATTCAATAAGGGGTGAATGACAATTAAAGGACTGTCAATATATATTGCATTTAGAGGGGTTTTCTACCTTATGAGTTATTTCATGTTGAGTAATGTCCGTTCTGTATATGCGGGAATTATCTTCATAGAGTTTGATTCCAGCTTGAATTTTCTGATGTTGGGTTAGAAATCACTAAAATTTTTTTCAGATTTAAAATGTTCATGAGCCGGGTTCCTGGGTGGCTCAGTCGTTGGGCATCTGCCTTCGGCTCAGGTCATGATCCCAGAGTGCTGGGATCGATCCCCGCATCAGGCTCCCTGCTCGGCGGGAAGCCTGCTTCTGTGTGTTCCCCTCTCTCTCGTTCTCTCTCTCTGTCAAATAAATAAAATAAAATCTTTAAAAAAGGTAAAATGTTAATAAGCTTTCTCTCAAGTAAGAATTCTCAGATAAAGACTAAGGTTTGTGTATTGGCCAGCAGAAAACATTTTTTGCTTGGTGCTGAAATGTCTTTTGCTTTTCCTTTTGCTCTGTATATAGTTGTACATTCCTAATTTTCTCTGAATCAGGAACACTTAAGCTCATGGCTTAAAAGTTGTTCCATTATTTTGTGTTGGGATGAGTAATGTTCATAAATACCCTAGACTCCAAGTTTGAAACATGAAAGAAAAAAAACTACTTTGATTTACTACTTTGGAAGAAAGGAAATTTTTTTTTTAAGATTTATTTATGGTTAGAGCAAGCAAGAGAGAGAGCACAGGGGGAAGGGCAGAGGGAGAGGGAGTCCCACGCCGATTCTGCACTCAGCATGGAGCCCAATATGGGGCTCCATCCCACGACCCTGAGATCACGACCTTGAGATCACGACCTGAGCAAAACCAAGAGTTAGATGCTCGACCGACTGCACCACCCAGGCACTCCTGGAAGGAAGGAAATTTCTATGTTAAAAGTACGATCATTAAACTTTCAATGATATCAATGAGACGTGACTGACAGACAGCTTTCAATTATGGATTTGTAATCTAAAAATTGGACAATAACACTGAAAATTAGAAGATTTTTGTGTAGGAAAGTGAGAAAGGATATTAGAGAAAGGGCTAAATGAGTGATTCTCACACTTTGGCAAGCATCATATTTACCTAGCAAATTTATTAAAAATACAAATGTCTAAATCTCATCCTCTGGATAAAGAACACATGTCTCAAAAACCTGGTTAAGTGATTTCATTCGAAATCTAAACTTCGAAAACTACTGGATAAGATAAAGGGAAATAAAATAGGAAAACATGGCGAAGTTAAGGAATTGGAGAAGGCAATTTGGAATCATAGTCTTCACTGTATATCTGGAATCATGTAAGAAGTGGTGAACTCTCTTCCACCAGGCTGTAGTCCTTCTGTCCTCCAAAACATTCTGTATCTGTTTTGACACTTTAATTTATTTATTTATTTTATTTTTAATTTTTTTTATTTTTATTTATTTATTTTTTAAATATTTTATTTATTTGACACAGAGAGAGACAGCAAGAGAGGGGATACAAGCAGGGGGAGTGGGAGAGAGAGAAGCAGGCTTCCTGCTGAGCAGGGAGCCTGATGTGGGGCTCGATCCCAGAACCCTGGGATCATGACCTGAGCCGAAGGCAGACGCTTAACCGACTGAGCCACCCAGGTGCCCCTAATTTATTTATTTTAGAGAGAGAGAGAGGGAGAGAGAGGCTCAAGCAGATTCCCCGCTGACTGTGGAGCCTGATGCAGGGCTCTGAGGTCATGACCTGAGCCAAAACCAAGAGTCGGCTGCTTAACGACTGAGCCACCCAGGCACCCCAACATTTATCCTTTTTAAATATTGATTTATATCACTGCTGCTAACCGAAAACCGCCAAGGGCTTCTCTGCAACCATACACACTTCATAATGACAGAATAACAACAAATGTAATAATAGATAACATTTACTGAGTACTTTTATTTAAACCAGTGCCACAAAGCTATTTAATAGTAGGTCAAAAATTCAAACCTAGGTGGTCTAAGTTGTGACTTGTAAAAGAAAAATATAACACAGGCCTATTTATAAAATCCATGTGAAATTTCAAGCTCCACTTTTCAGAATGAAATATAAAGAGAAATTTTTTCTGGCTAAAAAATGATTTAGGTCGCTCTATGTACCTGGTTGAACTCTGGAAATCATTATTGGTATAAATACTACTTTTCATCATGTTGTATTAGTATATACAATTGGTATATATTAAGTATAGGCAGTGATGCTACCCAGGGTATGTCTTTTTTTTTTTTTAAGGATTTTATTTATTTATTTGAGAGAGAGAGCACGTGTGCGAGAGAGAGGAAGTAGGGTGAAGAGCAGAGGGAGAAGCAGACACCCCGCCGAGCAGGGAGCCCGACACGGGACTCAATCCCTGGACTCTGGGATCATGACCTAAGCTGAAGGCAGATGCGCAACTGACTGAGCCACCCAGGTGCTCCTGGGTATGTCTTACCATGGTTTTGCCTAGTTCTGCTTAAAAGCTGGCTTTATAATAACACTCTGATTTTCCTGCAAAATCTGTAACCCCTTTCAGCAGTCCTGCCTAGATGGTTTTACTGCCTTTGGTGTAGCGGGTGCTCTGGCATACACTCTCCTTCAGGATGGAGGCCCTCATTTCTCCAGACGCCATAAATGGGGCCATAAATGAGTCCCTCTCAAGAAATTGCCCTCAGCTGGAGGGAGTTGCTTCACCAAAATTAGCCTCCTTGGGTTCAGCCCATACCCTAAAACTGGTCAATATAATGGGACAAAGTCCCCACTCCTTTACCTCAATTTTGTTCATCTCTGATGGCCAATTTCAGAGATTTTGTGAGATTAGCTGAGGCCCCTGTTGTAAAAGCATCACTATTCAACTTTTTCTTCTGTCCAGTCCTGCTTCCCTCATTCCCTAACAGTGGTCGATCCTGAGAGCAGTCCCTAATACACCAGCTGCTTATAAGGTCTGTTTCCT